GCGGATACACAGAAAGTGATATATATCTAGTTATGTATGTGGCTGCAAACAAAATCAAACTTTGCAGCCGGAATTTATTGAATTATTGAACAGCGAGCAGTTCCCTAAATTTGATTTATTTTTTTATCAAATCGAAATATGTGGACTTTAAAGGATGCACAAGTATATCTAACGACCAACTGGTATAATTAGGTATCTATTCGTAATGCTGGCGAAAGTGAATTTTTGATCAACCCTTTTGGCTCCTAACGAAACACTCGTCCAGTGGCCAAAACCCAATTAGTATGCAGTTAACTGGGATTTGCTGCCTTGATTTGGCCTGATTATGTTTCTGGCTACTGGCTCAAATAAGAGGGCGATATAATTGGAGGAAACTGAATTTTCTCTAATTATAGGAGTTCATTATAAGCCAAATGAGGGTATCCATGTGTTCGACTTTTGAGTTCTTTTCATTTTTATGTTCGCCTTTCACTTTACAAGTTAGGTTCAAACTTTTAGGGCTTCCTTTTTTTTGTACTATCATGGTATTATGAAAGTAAAATATTTTACAAATACTTCTTTAATAGAACCCTTGTGAGTAGAAGTTCAACATTGTTTTAGGAAGTTCCCACTCTAGAAATGTTCGGCATTTAAGCATTTTAGTACCTTTCCAGCTGTTGACTCCTAAGCTAAACTTTTTCCAAAAATACAAATCCAAGAATTTGCTGAATAATTTACAGTTTTATTAACTAGAACAAGAACAATAGGCAGCAACTTGCATCAGTTTTATTGACCCTAAAGATGTCGCAGTTGCTGCAGTTGATCTTCCTGCAAATCCTGCGAGCCAGGGACAACAGCGAACAGCTTAAGCCCGAAGATTGGACAATACGATGGCGAAATAAATAAGGCACTGGGTGCCAGATGAATTGCTGGGAACAGCTGGGCAAAGGATGCGGAGGCACAAGTGCAGGAAGCCAGGAAGCTAGGAAGCAGGGAGCAATAGCTGGCCACTGAGAAGCTTTGATAATGACTACAAAGTTTAACCTCTGCAATCATGGACGACGGGTAAATGGCACAGGACATTAGTTTATGGCGACGGCGAATGTATCTGTATCTGCGAGATGCGCGCCATGCAACAAATTGCGTAGTTTTACAGCTTACTCCTTAGAAAAAGCAAAAACACAGTGGAATATATACAGGACAAATGAAATTTTAATAATATGGCTCATTTTTCCCATGAATCATTTCCTAAAAACACTTTAGAGTGATTAGGAATTTTATATGACATAAATACGGAATAAATGTAAATCATATCCGTTTGAATAATAAATTTGGACGTGAACATTTTTTGTTTTCGTGCTCTGCAATGGGTACATCAAAGTATCTCAAAGTCGCAGTCCTTTTGCTCAACGTCGTCTCAAATGTATCTTTTTGCTGGTGTATCTTTTTGTGAGCCCTCAACTTTGACGACAGATTGACGCCTTGTTGTGCGTAACTGTGTTGCTGTGTGTGTTTGTTAACCGAACTGGATTTCCCCTTAGAGCTATTTCCTATTTTTAGAATTGCCTTCATTTGCCATTCCTGCTTTTTGGTCGTACAGTTTTTTTTACATTTTTTTTTGCCCAAACAATACCCGGGAAAGGATCTCAGACGTAACCTAAATTTTTAATTTAACTGCCCAGTTTTTATTTGCGTATGTGGGCCATAAAAAGGTCCCTTGTACGAGAAAGAGAGAAAGGTTAAACTTCTACCGCACACTGTATTCCGCTAAAAGTTAAAGCTTTAAAAACTTTACTCGGCTACAATTAACTTAAATTTGAAGTTAATTCTTTGAGTTCCCTTAGCTGCAGGTTAAGCTAATTTTACAGCAAAGGGTTCTCAAATTTGGGGCACTCAATGTCAGATTTTCCGCTTTCCTACATGCACAGCTACAAATGCAGTTCGTATCTGAAGCGCTGTCTGCATATTAAAACGCTGTCAAAATTGCACGGCTAAGTGTCATTTCATTTGACGCTTCCCCTCTCTTTCACTGTCGCTCGTGCCATCTCTTTCTAGTTGCGGGCCATCAGATACAGCACTCACACATATTACCCCTAATTAAAGCGCACAGTTCCTTAAACCAAAAATTCCAATAGCTCTCGCTTTGATTGCCTGACAATTTTGCGGCTGGGCAAACTGACAGTTTATGGTTTCTAATTTTCCCACCGAGTTCAGGCATTTTGCCATCAAAACGTAACTATTAGAAATCATACGAAACAATTTACCCAAATATGCCGGCATTTCAAGTGCATTCACTAATTGTCGACTCTGATTACTATACATACGCATTAAATGACGAAATTATGCGTTTTAGAGACGTATTAGGTGTGCAAATTAAACAAATATTTCAGGTGTTTGGCAGAGATACCTTCAAAAGAGTTAGTATGCAATAGTTTGAATTCATACGCGCGCGCTTTCCGATTTAATTAAAAATATTTTCCATCAACTTCCCTGTCCCCGAACTAGATTTTTGGCAAAGAGGTCAAAGTGGTTCTCATAAAACATTTTTATGAAATATTTTTGTTTGGCCCCTGGAGCAATGGCAGTTTTCGTTGAGCTGAAAAATTAAAATTTTATTAAAATTTCTCCCCAGATCGTTTTCATTTAATGCCACAGAAAGTGGCAAATAATCTTGAAGTTGTGTGTATGAAAAGTGTGCAAGGACTCTCTCCCAGGAATTGGCCAAGATGATGAAGGCAATGGCCAAGAGAAAGAGGCGGAAGAGGAAAACTGGGCTGAGTGTTCGCAATCGATTTGGTGAGCTTTTTTTCGTGAGCTTGGAGCGTGGAGACAGTGCGAATTCCTTTACCTTAATTAAAAAAGTTTACAATTTCTCCTGGCACTGTGACAGCCCCGCCCCTTTTGTGTGTGTTTGCGTGTGTGTGTGAGCGTTGCTGCTTCTGCTTCTGCATTTGTATTTGTATTTGTGTGTCACATAATAAGCCGGGAAAGTGCGTCAAAAAATCAACTGCTAAACAATGAGCAGCAACTTTCCCTTACTTCCAGGCATTTTATTCGTTGAAAGCCTGCGGGAATCAGCTGCCAACTTATTTATTCCTTATTTTCCTACCCCTCACTTCAAACGCAAGCCCCAGTGCTATATGTTTTATTTTATTTTGTTTGCTGTTTTTGGCGTCGGCTGGCAGAAAGTTTTAAAATAAACTTGCGTCATAAAAATTTCAAAAGTTTTGCCAAAGCACGAAAAACAAAAACAGAAATTTGCGTTAATTTTCGAAGGCAACGAGGAACGAAATGGGGCGAAACGAACCGGAATGGAACGGAAGGCACTGGCAAGAGGAAGAGCCAAACAAATTTTCGCAACATTTGCTTTTTATGCTCATGTCCCGTCGCGCTCAAAAAGTTGTTCTAACGAATGTTGATGCACATGAAAATAATTACAAAAAAGGAGTGGAAGAATAACAATTCAATTTTCTGCTGAAAGGACGAGAAACACTTTGTCCCTTAAGCTATTGGTAATTTTAAGCACGCCTAATAGTCTCCAGCCAAATTTAACACAGCAATATTTTATGCTAACCATTTGATTTAATCACCTAACTTATTTTACTGGAAGATGTATGGTAATCTTTACTTAAAAATAAATGTAATTTTTGTCACAATTTTTAGATGCTTGCAAGCTGTTTCAAGATCCATTTTTTATGGTCATTGCTGCCTGGCATCTTCATCATCGTTATGGACATTTCAACTCGTTTTCATTTTATGATCCGATTCGAAGGTCATAAAGCCAACAAATTTTTTTTTCGCCAACAAATCCGTTAAGACTTTTTCACCCCACCACCAAACAGTAGCCCTTGCCCTATCCCCAGCGACTTTCAGGCTTTGTCTTGGCCAGCAAAGCGGCGCGAATGACGAAGAAACGCATTAAAACTGATTTATTGCTGCAGATAAGTTTGTATTTATATGCCAGTGTTGGAATGTCTGTTCGCTTACCAACGCACACAATTTACCCCCGCGATTTTGGCGGGGGCTCTGTTGCCAGAGCTTTGCGTGCCCTAATCTGTTGGAATTTACCCCGCAGCCAAATACAAAAACCTTTGGCACATTTAATTAAGATTTAACCTTTAATTACGATTTAAAAAGATTACAATGTCAAATTCACGCTATCATCCAACCCGCCCATCATCCACTTCCTTTCATCCGCGGTTCCACTTGGCGCCACTCCCACATCGTCAGCTACTTTCGCCGCGAGCGATTCTCGATATGCGACCACGGGAAGGATGTGATTACGTTCGGGGCTAGCAGACCAGGACATTGCATATCATTTTCTATTAGCCACACTGGGAGAAAATATGGCAAAGCGCCACCACTCAATGTGTGGTAAGTATGGGTAATCCAGACTAACTATAACTGAGTACCTGTCGTGTAGCATATTGTAAAGACCTTTGAATTCTGTTCTGTGTTGAATAGCTTATATTTTTAACCACATTAGTACTTCCCATAAATGTACACTACTGTCTCGCAGTGCATGATTTTAGAGACTCCTTGCGATTTGCAAATTTTTCGCCCTCCACTCAATGGCTCGCTAATTATGCAAGCAATGGGCGTAGCAAACTCAATGATGCTATGGCATTATCGTTATCGTTATCGCAATCGTAATCGACCCTGTAATTGTTCCCCCAGCATAATGGTAATATTCATGCAAATGCCAACAAAAGAAGAAAAAAAGAAGGGGACTGCCTTTTGAAATCGGTGACCCCGACGTGATGTGAATCAAGTGTATTTTTTTCCGCAACACTCTCAAACCAAAGACACTAGAATAATAAGATGCGTAACGCCATACGATTTTTTTGCACACGATTTTTACGGGCTGGCTCTAGAGCTGGCTAATGATAGAGCTGGCTAATTAGAGCTGGGTAATCAATTTCTATACAATAATTTTATATTGTATTTTAAATATTTTTTATGAATAAATATTTTAAGATAAATATTATAACATTTCAAACACTTGTATGAATAACACTTACCCGGTTATTTCTTCAAGAGGGACGCCAATTTGATCTCACTTAAGAACACTACTTTGTGCAAGTAACACATACCCTACATACGTACGTGCATACATACATACATACATACATACATACATATATACATACATACATACATACATACATACATACATACATACATACATACATACATACATACATACATACATACATACATACATACATACATACATACATACATACATACATACATACATACATACATACATACATACATACATACATACATACATACATACATACATACATACATACATACATACATACATACATACATACATACATACATACATACATACGTGCGTACATACATACGTGCGTACGTACATACATACATACATACATACACCGGTACGTACACTACACATACACTACACTCACTGAGATGACTTGAACTATTTTGCGACTCTAAATTAGAAGATATGCCTTACAGTCCTCGCTAGAACCAGTTGGGAATTATAGGGCTTCAAGAAAATATTTTCCCTAAGCAAATATTAAAAGCGGCAATAACTATGTGTTCCGACAGTAAGTTATACATTCCTCAGGCTTTAATTAAGACAATTTTTACTACTTTGTGCAAGTAACACATACATACATACATACACACATACATACATACATACACACATACATACATACATACATAAATACATACATACAAACATACATACATACACTCATGTCACTTGTGCAAAATTTGTAAGCATTCAATCGGCTTCATGTGAGTTATTAGAATCTATGTATCAACAACAAGAAGAAAAGATATACAGAATCGCATACTTCATTTGCTTAAGTAATGATATTTAACGCAATAAGTATATTAAATTCGATTTGCTATAATACAGCAGTGAAATGTTGACTTTGGCTTTTAATTATGAAATTTAATTTCATCGGCTTTGGATAAAACTTCGCTGATAAATATTAGATATCGTCGTGTAAAACTTTTCAACTTTCTATGTAAACAAAGCTGAGTTTGTTCTTCCTATAGAGACTTCCTCTTCTTATTTTTCATTAAGTTTTCCTTTTTCACTTTTGCGAACCTTTTGTGAATTGCTGTGTGTTTGCGTTTGTGTGGCCGGTCTTGTTCTTGTTGTTTTTGGCGTCATTGTTTCGCTTAGCGATATTAAGAGCTTTTGTTGGGTCCGCTAGTTTGAGCGAGCTTGCTTGTCTAACACCTCTCTTTTTTATGCACTGAAAAACATCTTCGGAACAGTGAAAAGCATGGTAGTACTGAGATATTACACTGATTAATTTTCAGATTATCCTACAGCTTGGTCTTTAGCTTAAGGCGTGTAATAAACAAGTTGAAAACTTGATGATATTCAAACAATTGGTTGGCCACTGACGTACAGCGTTTGCTCGCAGTGTAATGACCACTCTGCCACGCCCCCTTCTCACTGGCAGCAAGTGTGTGGGCGTTAATATTCATTACAATGTCAAACGCAATATCTTGGGACAAACGCAGGAACATGTTCTTGTTCTTGTCGTCCTTTATCTGGGCTGTATCCCTTGTTACCCCACATCCTCGACGTCCTGCTTTCACTGGAGCTTTGTTGGCATTGCTTTTTGCTTTCTCCTATTTTATTTTACTTTATTTATGCCCATGTCTACCCATAAGTTTATTATTTATAATCTCACTCAAGTGCGACACTTTTCTACGAGTGTGCTTACATTTGATCCCCCTGCCCCACTCCGCACACTCGCGCCCAACTTTTTATGTTCGCCCTTCGGCAATCGGTTTATATTTTGTACGGCTTATTAACAATTTGCGCTGCACATCGAAAGCAAAGTGTATGCTTTATGCATAGAAACCGCCCAGTGGGCCTACTTTAATGACCGCCGCTGTGGCTCACAAAAATATTGTCAGCCTCAGCTGGAAGTACAAGGCAAGAAGAAATGTTTTTTATTGCATTTTATTGTTAAAGACATTTCCACTTTTATGCTCGCATAAAACCCAGACAAATACGCCATTCTGTACCCCTCCTTCAGTATCAACTGTCCTTTCTCCAGGCCCCAAATTGAATTACACAAATTTCATATTTATAAAAATAAAAGGGAGAACGGCAAACCTTAAAGCTAATGTGCTTTAAATGATATTTCACATAACAGACTTTTCCCTTTTTTTAAAGCGTTGTTTGATTAGTTTTCAACATTTTAAGCCTGTGTTAAAATGTCTACCGATTTATTCAAATTTCTATTCACCACAAATGGTAAAGTGAAAAAATAATCATTTTTCCCATGGCGAAATGTAATGTATGTACATATGTATGCCCTTTGCTGCACTTTGTTACTTATTTTTGCCGTTTTCATTTTCAAACTGAAATTTGCACTAAGCTGATTGCGAATTGCAAAATTTATCATCATGGTATGGAAATAAGTTATGTAAACATATAAAAGGGACAGAAATGTGTGCGGCTTTGAATGTTTATTTGCCAGAAATTAGTAAAGCATTTCGAAATCAATCTCCCTATAATCTCTGAAAATTCTTTGGCAAATGCCAACATCATTTAAATGAATGATATCTGTAAATGAATTCCTCGAAAATATCTTTCAAATGAAAATGTGATTCCATATTTACATTTTTAAGGTACCTCAATGATTGTAAGTCGAACCCGAACCCAAATAATGGAATTCATCGATTAATTACATTTTACGATCGATCTAACTGCACTTTACGATTAATTCAAGATAATAACATATTGCGGGTAATTGTATATCAATCGCTAATCGAAACCAAAGAAATCGATTTATCGTCACAAACGTTTAATTATCCTTTATGGATAAATGCAGCAATTACCAGTAAAAGCTTTTGCATTGGACGTTTTTCCCGACATCTGTTGTTTTTTTCCCACTTGCATTCGCTGCTATCGATTAATATCTATGGGTCATTGTGTAGCCTGGATAACAAAGGAAAAATTATCGATTTTCGATTTGTGCGTGCGTGTGTGGGTGTCCTATATGTGTGTGTGTGTGTGTGGCAGGCATTCAAATAGCGGGCAACAAATGTCGTTTATTGTACACATACAAAAGGGGGAAAGAAGAGAAGCGGCAGGGAGGTGAAAGGACAAATGTCAAAGAGCAACCGACGCCTGCTTGATTACCAAAAAAAAAAAGAAGAAAGGAGGAAGGGAGGTAAAACTGAAAGCAGAACGAGGAGGAGCACGGATAGTAGAGAATAGAAGGAGAGCAGGACGAAAACGAGGAGAAGACGGAGCAGGAGGAGCAGGCGGATAACAAAGGGCAATGCGCTCAGCCGCCTGTTGAATGTCAAAAGTAACGGTATACAGACCCCCATTTTGCCTGCAAATGACAATGGAAGCCATAAGAATGTCGTTGTGTGCGTGAGGGAGTGTGTGAGTGAGTATGTGAGTGAGTGTGTGAGTGAGTAAGTGAGTAAGTAAGTGAGTGAGTGAGTGTGTGCTAGTGAACTGAACGGAGTGTCGGCATTTGCGGCAATGTGACAGTGTGTGGGTGAGCGACGGGCGAAGTGAGAGCATTCCATTCGCCTGTGTAATGCAATTTGCTAGGAAACCTGCTCTCGTTAATTTCCCCTTTACCATTGCTCCCCTACTATTCGCCCACACTTTGATTTTCCATGCCGCCAAAAAGACATTTTCATGCGAATTCTTTGGGTAAGGAGGTACACTATTAGGCATATTAAGCACTATATAATTTATTGAGAAGCTTTATGCTCATGCCTCTTCTTGAAAGCGATTAGTGTTGCTTGTGTTGCCTCAATCGGTATTATATTATTAATAAACGATCATTATACCATTTCTGTGGATCTCTAAGGTATTTCCATTTTCGACCCCCAAACCAGTTGTCCGTGCTCAACAGCTGTCCTTGTCGTGTCCGTCACCCAGTTTTTTTTGTTGGCCCGCCGCAACAACTAATTGACTTCCAATGGAAGCTGCGCCTCCTCAATTACGCTACATAACTTAGTTAGGCTTGTGATGTATGACAATATGTGGTGCAACGCGCACACATTACCCCCGCCTCCTGAGTAAAACAGTTCGTTTTGATTATGGGCCGCAAAAAGCCTGCAAAGTATAATGTCTTTATTCAAAGAGCCAAACTACATGACAACAACGTTAGCAGGATAACGAATCAACAACAAGAACAACAACAACAACGGCAGGAACGATGACAGCGACAACGCCTGTAAATCCTCTAAGCCACAATATTTACTGTGATGGCACAGTGGGCAATGTGGGCAGACAACAGAAAAACTGGGGCGGCAACAGAAGTAATACGAAAATGGGGTGCGAAAAACCCAAAAATCCACATTTTGCTGTCAAGGGTTCGACGGGATGCTACATCTTATTATAAGGGACGTAGTTTTGTTTTATTTAAAAAGTTCAACTTTCTAACTAAATATAATAATAATAATTATAAACTGTACACCACCACGTATGAGTTATATTTAGCACGCAGATTGCTCATACGCACCGTTGTTTTCACTGAAGACATTTGCACATTTAAGCCGTTTTAAAGGCTAGAAACTTAAAGAAACGGAATATAAACCAGGATTCGCATTCGACCTGCCGTTTTCACACGGATTGCTTGTGGAAAAAAAGGCGGGAAAGCAGAGCAGGAAAAACAAGGCAACAAATGACGAGGGAAAGAGAAAGGTAAGAGATGGGAAAAGGCAGCTCTGGCAACAAAGCAACAACTAAAATTGAAAGGCAGACAAATAAAAAGTGACGAGCAAGAACACATACATACATAAGGAGGGGAAAAAAGGGATGCTGAGCAACATGATAAAGGCACAAAAATCAATTTCTGTGTCAATTTTTTCCTTTTTCTCTTTTATTTTTCTTTTAGGCGCCGCGTGTGAAACAAGACGGGGAGTACAAAAAATGCGTGCGGTTTCGTAAAAACAAGAACAACACAAAATTGAGAACTTTGGGCGAGAAAAGTGGGTGGGCAAAGCGCGAGGCACAGAACCGCACAAAATGCCGCTCATATTTCAAAACAGTTTCGGGAATATCCTTGGATTTGTCAGTGCTTTTTCGCCGAAGCGAAACAGAAATTGTGGAAAAAGGGGGAAAACACAATTAAGTG